CAGGGAACATTTCGTAGAACCACAGAACATGCCGAGTTGAAGGGGACCCACGGGGAGCACCGAGTCCAACCCTTAACCCTGCCCAGGACACCCCGGGAGTCACACCGTGTGCCTGAGAGCGTTGTCCAAGCGCTTCTCGAGCTGTGTCCGGCTTGGTGCTGTGACCACTTCTCTGGGGAGCCTGTTCAGTGCCCGACCACCCTCTGGGGGAAGAACCTCTTCCCAATAACCAGTTCTGCAGACATCCTCGCAGGCTTTTTTCCCGCAAAACTTCTCAGTGCTGGGATACAAGTGCCGAGCTGGGCAGGCCCGCACACGGCAGGTGCTCCCTCGGGAACGCGGCATTCGAGCTCCGGGGAGTGCAAACCCGGGAGGTCGGGATGAGGAGTCTGTGCAGAGTGACGGGAGGTGTTGTTGTGAGGTGGTGCTTGACGTATATCTGCTGGGCGTGTGCTCACCAGAGCCCGGGGAGCGGGACAGGAGGGGACTGCAGCGTTATTGGGAAGGAGAACAGTGACTCCACTGGGAGCACATCTGTCTGGGAATAGAAATCGGTCACAGCTCAAGCCGTAATTGGGAGCTTTTATTTTACGCTGAGAAATACCGTAATCCTTCACAGAATGCTCTGGCAGGAGCTCCCTTTGTGTGCTGTGTGTTTCTAACACCGTGGCAGATCTCAAGAGCTGTAGGTTGTGTCCCTGGGTGGGTTTATACCCAAGTGTAGCTACAAGAACCTGCAGGGTGAAGTTGTGGTTCTCGGGGGTGAACACCTCATAAGGTGTTTGTAATGCAGCTGTTATCTGTATTAATGCAGATTAATCTGTGTTTAAGCTCAGGTGGGTGTGCTGCAGTTAGCTGGGCATTGCACACCTCTGCCTGGGGAAGTCTTAAAGGGGTGTGAAGCAATAGTTTACATTACAAGTGATGAACTCAGCAAAGGGGCATTTGGGGGAAAGTCAGATCAGAGGGATCAGAGAGGAAGTGGATAAAGGCTGGGAAGGCACAGGGTAAATCCTTATCAGACAGCTAGGGGAATTTCTAAATTGGTTTATGCTGACATGGATTCCTTGGCTTACCAGTTTCAGAATGCTGTGGGAGTTCTTTTGATCTGCCAATGTAAGTTTGATGTAAGAAAGCTAATCCCTAATGTACTGTCTATGTATAAACAGATGTAAATGTGCTTATTTGCAGACATTCACATGCACAAATATTTAGGATAAACAAAGATTGTCATAAATTACCATTGTCATCTTAAGATTTTTTTTTCCATTTCATTGGATGTATTTATATATGTGTGTGTTGGAGCTGAATCTGTGTGAAAAATATAAATACTTTAATATAGGTGTTGCTGTAAGAAAAATAATACATTTTTCATAAGTTTTTAATACCACTTTCCAGTCACTTCCAAGTGTTCTACTTCATTGCTGATTTGACTGTTCAGGTTGTCTTACTTGTAGAATAATTACTGTAGACTAGTTAGTTGGTTGCTACATTCTTACACTAAAAGAAAATGAGGGAGTAGCCACTCAAAACCAGTAACTCTCTCAAATATTTTTAGCAGAGACTCTGCAAGTGAATGAGAACTTCTTTCTACAGGACTGAGGTGAAGAACTTCACCATGGGTCAACAAATTTCAAACCACACACAAACTGTAATTAACAAGTTGCCAGAAAAAGT